GTCGGGAAATCAGAACGTTGCTGACCTCCCTTGGATACAGGGTGGGAGCCTGAAAGTTATTTCCCTGCTGCTTTCTGTTTTTGAAAGGGAAGAAAAATCACCTTTTCTTGTTTCTCTGTTTTTGGCATGCTTTTAGGGATCACAATGGGTGTGTGGGGGGGTGGATTCTCTGTTTGCATGCTGCATGGCTTAAAATGGGAGGCTAGAAACCGAGGCTGGGGCTCTGGGTGGATTTTCTGCTTTCCTGGTGAGTGTTTAAATGCCCTTTGCTGAAACGGTTAGAAGGAGCTTGAGTGTTACGGCTTAAACTGTGTTTTTGTAAAAAGCTGATTGCTATTGAAGGGGCTGTGGGGAGACTCTCCACTCTGAACCGAATCTGCCGCCCCTTTAAACGGGCTGGAGATTCCCTGGTGCGCTCTCTCTCTCTCTCTCTCTCTCTCTCTCTCTCTCTCTGCTAATGGGGCTGGTTTCTCCGCTCGCTGCCTGCTTTGCTCTAATTCTTGCAAAATGGGGCTCCCTGGTCTGTCAGGGAAACAGCTGCTTCGGAAGGGCCTGTACACTTTCGCTCTCTGGGGGGTCTTGGGAAATGGTTGCTTTGCTTTAGGGCTTTCCTTTAAAAGGGACACTTCCTTCACCACCCCCCGCCCACCCGCCTCTCTGCAGCAGACAAAACTCTGTTCCCTGTGGGTTAGGGGAACATTTTGGGGAAATGAGCATGCTTGCAAGCACTGGCTGCTTTGCTCTGGGGGTTTGCAGGGGGCGGCTGTCTGGCTGGGGGGGTGGGCTTGGGGGCTCAGGGGAACCACCTGCATCTGGGGAGAGGGACTTCTCACACACCCTGGGGGCTCTGCACTAAACACAGCGAGCACAAAGGCATTCTCACTGTACAGTTTTCAAAGTATCCCCAGCCCCACTGCTGTTTTTCAAACTGTTCCCTTCTACAAAACACAACCACATACAGGGGAAAATCCAGTTTGCATGCTGTGTTTCTGCCTCTCATACAATACCTTTAAAAACTTCAAAACGCACCCCTACCATATCTCCCAATATCCTTCTCTCACCCAACCCCCAGCCAGACGCTACACTGTTGGGGAAAGCCAGCCCGTGGCCATTGTGCTCCCTTTGGCTGACACCCGCTGCCATCTTGAAGCATGACCCTTCGGGAGGTGGTGTCAGCTAGCTGCCATGCTTTCTTTGTTTTCTTTCGTCCCTAACTTTTTGCGCAGCCGCACATGCTTGCTTTGCTTAGCTACCGTGGGTAACATAAGGGAGGCGCTCTTCCCCCCCTCCCCGCGAACTGGCTCAGCAAGACAGCGCTATCAGTATAACCTTGAAGGGAAGGGAAGGCTTGAATTCCACTACGGGTGTGAATATTTCTACTCTCAAGGGATTGGGGTGAGTCTCCCGTTCATGATTTAATATCCCGCCTGGAGAATTCCCACGCGCGCACTTGGATTTCATTTGCTTAGCTAGATGCAGCATCAGAGTATATGTATGGAGCCCCTTGCACTCTTCGTTATTCCTGACAATGTACCTGTACCACTTGGCAACAGACCAGTATTCCAATAAAACATATTTTCAGGAGAGTGTGTTTGCACCTGCTTGCTGTTGACCCTGACAGGTGGGATTTCCGCCGAGTGGGGGATGGGGCACCTGTCACAATGACTGACATGACAGAAGGTACATCCATGGTCCTCCTTGTACAGCTTGTTACAGCTTTTCAGCCCTTGGGCTTTCTTTTTTTCTGTGCTGAGAGGGTATGGAATCTAAACTGGCCTGTGCATTGTGCCTCTTCAGCCGTTTTAACCCTAACCCCCAATTTTTGGGGAAGGGAGGACAGGTGAGCAGTTCAATTTGCAAATGTCCCTTCAATTAAAATACTTCCCAGCATGTTATTACCTAGAACATTACCTAGACAATAAAACCTTACATTTATGAGATGCCAGTTTGCTAAATGCAGGCCCCGTTCACACGGAACATTTGCTGCGCTAAAGATATGGATGATAGGTGGATTTTCCAGGCGCGATCACACCGCAACATCTGGGAAGCATAGTGCACCCGTGACTAACACGTGACTTCTTGCCGAAGATATGGAGTAAAAAACTAGTACATACGATGTGCTAGTTTCCGGAAAATGCGGGGCAAGGGCGGGCGTCTGATCCACTGGAATCCCGTGCCATCCGGTGCCCACCCATGTCCCGTCGCAAACTGGATGTTTGTTTTTTTTATGTCTCCACAGGATGCGCACAAACACCCACCGGCACATGCGCACACTGTCTTGGGGGAGGGGGACACAAACATGCCACAGAAGTGGCGCCTAGCGATTGCCAGTGTGATCACGCCATGCCGCTTGTTTGCCGCACTGCAGGATAGCCGTGTGATTGGCACCTAACGGCATACCCACGGGACCTCCACGGGACATGTGATCGGGCTGCCGTGCATTACTTTGCTCTTGGTGGCTGGGACCGCAGGAAGGTTTTTACCTGGGGGGAAATACCTGCTTTCTGAAGTGGAAGAGGCCAGGATTTTACCATGTAATTCCTTATAGTGTACACAACTTCCTTATTTTATTGACTTCTGCTGATCATAGAGTCAATGCCAACTAGTGAGCAAGCGCATGTATGTCTCTGAGACACCCAATTAGCTCATTGTTGGGTTGCTTCTTGCCAGTAGTGCTCTTCCTCCGAATACTTAGCATCCAAAATGGCACTGCAGTGTTCACATACCATTCCCAGAAAGGAAAGGCACTTTTGTCTAAGAGAAGAGAAAGCTTCTAGCTCCTGAAGTGGCATCCACTTAGTCAAAGAAGGTCCTTGAGAGAATTTGGGGGGGGGGGCAGCCAGAGGATTTTCACTCTCCCTGCAAAAGCTTTTTTCCTATTCTCTTTGGTGGATTTTTAATGGCTTCCCTGTGGTGGGACATGGCATAAGTATGGGATTCTTTCCTTACTCATAGACCCTGCTTCCCCCCCCCAAAAAAAACCCCTCTTCCTATTGGCTTGTCTTTTATTTTTATTTTTTTTGTCTCCATGCTGTCTCATTATGGGGTACAGCTAAGGCCTAGAGTTTAAGTCTAAACTGAAGAAGAAAAAGGCACTGTGGAGGGGAAATTTCTTAACCAATTAATTTGGAAGTATTGAAGCCTGAGAATGTTACCCTCTTGAGAAGAAACATGCACAGGGAAGTGGAGGGAGAGAAATTACAAGCCCTTTGTCACACTGCCCCAAATATCTGCAAGTGCTACAGTTTTGCAATTCTAATTTTGCTTTCCTTGAGACCTTGTTCTTCCTTAGAAGTTCTTGGGAACAAAGTCAGAAATAAGCATCGTAAAGAGTACAAACATTGAGTGCAAAGAGGGTAGACTGAGTAATTTTCAATCATTGATTCGAATTACTATTAAATTCAACAAGGAAAAGACTGATTTAAATCAACTTTTCCATTAATATTTGTAACATTTCTAGTGTTCAAATCTAATATTTTAAACATGTTAATTTATAACTAAGCAGAGTATTTTACAACACTTAGGAGATTAAATTTTGCACAGCAATAGATAACTTGATCTCCCCTGATTTTAGAAAATAATGCATATACTTAAGGAATGTTAACTAAAAGTAGATTGCACACACACACACACAAAAGTATACATGGCTCCTCTGACCGTGTTCTTGTGGGCACTTTGCTCCAGCCTCAACTCCCTTCCTCTGCCTCTGGCATTTCTGTTTTGCACCGGGGCTCACTGAAAGCCACTGATCTTGTGCAAAGGGAAGAACCAGCGACAGACGTCTCATATTCAGCAGTCCTTCCAGGTTACCAAGGCTAGACATTTTATTTTCAGGACTTAGTTAACTAACAAATTACTCATCAAAGTCCTAAAGGCTGTCGAAGTAGGTTCCATCCAATCCCCATTGTATTGTAGCAGAAACACAGACTTTTCCCACTTCCCAAATGATTTCTGAGATTCGGTTGAATAATACCGAAGAGGATATTCTTTGCATGGCTGTAGAGGAAGCTTCTGCTGTTCACAGCTATTTTAGCAGCTGAAGTGAGTGATGTTTCCAGGGGCCTGGCCAGCCACTTCCACTTGTCCTGGGGAGTGATTTTGTCCAGAACCTCATTGGCAAGTGTCTGCTATTACAGAACCTAAGAAGAAGTGCCTTCTGCCCGTCTAGTCCAGCATCCCTGCTCCACTTAGCAGCCAACCGGTTGCTCTGGAAGGCAAAGCAGACGAGGCCTCTTCCCTCCATGTTGCTTCCTAGCTAGGGTTACCAACCTCCAGATAGAGGCCGGAGATCTCTCAGAATTACAGATTATGTCCAGAGATCAGTTCCTCTGGAGAAAGTGGCTGCTTTGGTGGGTATACTTTATGGCATTATACTACACTGAGGTCCCTCCACAACCCCCAAACACCGCCATTCCCAGGCTGCAGCTCCAAATCTCCAGCGGTTTCCCAAGCAGGAATTGGCAACACTATTCCCTAGCAGTGGGTATCGGAGACTACGACTTCCACAGTGTGGAGGTTTCCATTGACCACTGTGGCTGTTAGCTGTTGATGGACTTCTGCATCAATCTGCCCAATTTCCTCTTACAACCATCAGTGCTCATTATATCCACTGGCAGTGAATTTCTTAATTTAATTACTCATTGAATAAAACAGTTTGGGGGTTTTTTTTGTCTATTCTGAATCTATCAACTTCATTGGTTGCCCCAAAGTTCTAAAATTATAGAACAGGGAGAAAAAGTTCTTTTTATCCACTTTTTCTACCCCATGCATAAATTTATAAACGACTACCGTCTCCCCTGTTAGTTGCCTTTTTTCCCCCTAAACTGAAAAGTGCCAGACTATAAGAAAGATGCTCCAGTCACCTTCGTTTCTCTTTTCCGTCATTTTTCCACCTCTGCAATATCCATTTTGAGATACAGTGACCAGAACTGTACACAGTGTCAAAAGAGACCACATATACAAGGGCATTGCAACATTTTCAATCTCTTTCTTTCCTAAAGATCCCCAACATGGAGTTTGCCTTTTTCATCAATGCCAACCACCAAGGCAACATTTTCATCAGAACTATCCACCACAACCCCAAGATCTCTTTTCCTCTCAGCCTCAGCCATTTCGGACCCTTTCAACAGGTATTTATAGTTCATATTTTTTGCTTCTAGCTGCCCAAATAGCCCAGTTTGATCTGAACTCATCAAGTCTTGGGAGCCAAACAGGATGGTCCACGGTCAGTGGCTTGGATTTCTACAGTTTCTACTAATTTACCCAGAACAGATTAAGTGGCCTGTAATTTCCTGAGTCTCTTCTAGACTGCTTTTTGAAAAACAGTAACATTTACTTATTTTCCAACATGGAGGGTGATTATAGCAACATGTTACTGGTTAACAAATCAACAGTTTCACATTTTAAGTTTTGTAAGAATCCCTGGATGTGTGTCACCTGGACCTTGAGACGTCTAGTTTGGTAGTTGTAGAACTCAATCTCTTGTCACCTCCCTTTGACTCAGTCGTTCAGGTGCCCTTCCCAAGTCAGAGGCTCCAGGACGGGGTTTGTCCACCCCGTCTCTTTCCATGGTGAAAACAATCTGCCACCTCCCTTAAGCAATCTTTTCATCACTTTGTCATCCAGTGGCCCAACCACTAGCCTGGCTGGATTCCTGTTATATTTGAAGAAACGTTTACTGTTCATCTTAATGTTTTTAGCAGTCCGCTCCTCAGATTCTCTTTGAAAGGTACGCAGACGGAGAGTGAATCCAGCTAAGCATACTTTTATTGGTCAGGAACAAAGACACCTAGGCCGGCTCGCAGGCCGGCTTATATTCCTACTGAAACCCACCACCAAACACCCCCCCACTCCCGATAGGCTATTTACAGTGACCGAGAGACCTATTGGCCTCACGGCCTGGGACCTAGCCCTTTCATTGGGCCTGGCTAGGATCCTACTGGCCCATTGTCTTTTGGCATGAAGCTTGAGGTGTTTGTGCCTGGGCAAGTCCGGGCATGCCCGGCCCTGTCAGGGCTCGATACACTACACTCTTTAAATGCTTTTCCTCCAATCCTGCACTTTAATAATGGCTGGTACAACTCTGTGACCGTGTCAGATTCCCATGTCGTCACGGCCGCTTCTTCTTCTGTCCTTATATATCGCGGAAGGGGAAGGGAGACTCTTAAGGGAGAAAAGGAAGTGGAGGCTCCTGCGCGACCCATTTGCTACTTTGTTACCTGCAGGTTAACTCTGCCGGTAGGTGGTTCACACTGCAGTCCTCAACAGCACAGTTACACCTTTTCAAACCATTGAATCTCGTGGGCTTAGAGGGTATGTCTCTGCTGAGGACTGCACAGTCCGTGTCTTTTCAGATATCTCCCAGACCTCAGCAGCGCCTCCAATGTAGCGATTGTCTTCCGGAGTTTGTCCAAGGCTTATTCTGGGTTTCTGGGCACTTGTCCATCTATTCTGTCATAATTTTGCAAATGTTTGTGAAAATAGGCCAATTATTAATAAATTGTTCAAAGCAATCCTCTTCAGAATTCCATCATACATTTTGAGAGATTATTAGTTTGGATTTTCCTGCTCTTATCTGTGAAGCTGAAGCAGAATGGTGGATCTGGAAGTATTTTGGCATCTTCAGCAACATTTTATTTTCTTCCTGGAAAAGTGCTTCACTCTTTGGGTAAGATATGCGCTGAATGATGGCTACAACCTTAAGTTATCTTATTTATTTAGAAAAACTGTATGCTACCTCTCCAGTTAATCTGTCTGAAGCACCTTGCAAAACGAAACTTAATAACATAAAACTCCATCAAAAGGTAAAATGCCCTAATTATCACTCGACTTGATGTGTGGTAGAATTCCGTGGTTGATTGTTTGGGACGATTTATTACAAATTGGCCTAATAGGTTTAAAACAATGCTCACTCTAATCTGTGGAGTCCTGTGAGCAAAAATTCTACTTTGTGAGCTACTTTCATTAAAGCTGTGAGTGAGCGATCTGGCTACTGCAGAAATTAGTTTGCTCTGGAGCCCCATCTTTCCTGAGCGGAGACAAAAAAGTGTGAGCCGGAGGCTAAAAAACTGTGAGCTAGTTCACACTAAGTCAGCTTAGAGAGAACACTGGTTTAAACATGTTGTTTTCTTCTGTACGTCTCCAAATCTTTTTATATCTGCAGCAGTGGCAGTGACAGGACTGCTAGCAGGTCACTTGGGTCTTTTGTTTACTGCCCCATTTTTAAATATTCTGCTGCAGAAGTTTTTCCTCATGTATCTATTGCAGGGTTCCCCATTGTGGTGCACATTGTGCTGCATCTGCTGACATCTTTCTTGGTGCCCACCAAGTGTTTTGTGATCGGGAAGCCGAGTGACCCTCCCTTGGGGCAACTGCTTTTTTATGTCCCAAATGTGAGGAATTAGGACCCTTAGGACCACTGGAGAATGGAAGATTTGTTCGCTTACTTTTTATTTTATTTATCTTTAAATTTATATCCCGCCCTACCCCGAAGGCTCAGGGCGGCTAACAGGAGGCACAAAGTGCCCAGAAAATATCAGTGCTCCATTTGTCACAAGATGGGGTAGATCTTAATCCCAACGGTAACATTCCCATGGTCTGTCATCCCTCCTCCTGCCAGGGTCACCTCGCACCCCAAAGGAACCAGGTGGTGGTGGTGGTGGTGGTGGTGGTGCGATGGTGCATAGATAGCAATGATGGAGTGGTGGTGCTGGTGGCGGCTCCTACTCAAAAGCCTGGTAAGAAGAGCTCCATCTTGCAGGCCCTGTGGAACTGAGAAAGATCCCGCAGGGCCCGGATCTCTTCCGGGAGCTCCTTCCACCAGGTAGGAGCCGCCACCGAAAATGCCCTGGCTCTGGTCACTGCAAATGTAATGTCCCTGGGGCCTGGAATTTCCAGGAGATGACAACTCCCTGACCGTAGTGCCCTTGGGGGAACATATGGGGAAAGGCGGTCCCTCAGGTAGGCTGGAACCTGGCCATAAAGGGCTTTAAAGGTAAGAACCAGCACTTTGAAGCGAATCCGGTACGCTATTGGCAGCCAATGCAGCGCTTTCAGCACAGGCTGAATGTGGTCCCTCCTAGAGAGACCCATCAACAGTCTGGCTGCAGCATTCTGCACTAGCTGCAGCTTCCGGATTTGCAACAAAGGCAGCCCCATGTAGAGAGCGTTACAGTAGTCTAGCCTCGAGGTAACCGTCGCATGGATCACAGTGGCCAGGTCATCTTGGCTAAGGAAGGGGACCAACTGCCGAGCCAGCCGAAGATGATAAAAGGCCGACTTGGCAGTGGCTGCCACCTGGGCCTCCATCGTTAAAGAGGAGTCCAGGTGCACACCTAAACTCCTAACCTCTGACGCTGGCACCAGAGGCACCCCATTGAAGGTCGGGAGACCCCAACCCTGAACTGATCCAACTCAGGCCCAGGACCTCCGTCTTTGCTGGGTTTAGTTTCAACCGGCTCAGTCTGAGCCACCCAGCCACAGCCTGTAACGCCCGATGAAGGTCATCCGGGGCAGAGTCCGACCGGCCGCCCAGCATCAGATAGAGCTGGGTGTCATCGGCATATTGATGACACCCAAGCCCACAACTCCAGGCAATCTGGGCAAGGGGGCGCATGTAGATGTTAAACAACATCGGGGACAGCACAGCCCTCAAGGGGATGTCTCTGGGACCGCTGGTCCCCTATCACCACCCTTTGTCCCCGACGTTGGAGAAAAGAGGCAAACCATTGAAGGGCAAACCCCTGAATCCCCGTGTCGGTGAGGCGGTGGGCCAGCAACTGGTGGTCGACCGTGTCGAATGCAGCCGACAGATCTAACAACACCAGCGCTGCCACACCACCCCGATCCAGATGCCTACGGAGATCGTCAGTCAGGGCGACCAGCACCGTCTCCGTCCCATGACCCGGGCGAAAGCCAGACTGGTAGGGATCGAGGACAGAAGCATCCTCCAGAAAGCTCTGTAGCTGTAATGCCACCGCCCTCTCGATGAGTTTGCTCAAATAGGGCAAATTGGACATCTACATGCTGATAGTTGGCCAATTCGGCCGGGTCCAAAGATTGCTTTTTCAATAGGGGGCGGGCCATCGCTTCCTTGAGTGCCCCAGGGAATTGTCCGTTTGAGAGGGACATGTTGATAATCTCCCGCAGGGCACCCCGAAACCCCTCGTGGCCGGCTTTAATGAGCCAAGAGGGGCACAGATCAAAGTTGCATGTGGTTGGACGCACAGATACGAGCAATCTGTCAACTTCCTCCAGACTGAGTTGGTCAAAACACTCTGAACCAAAGACATGCAAGGGGCCTCAAGTTCGCTCAGTGTTTCAATCGTGGCGGAGAGATCGCGGCAGAGCACTGAGACTTTATCTGCAAAATAGCTTGCAAATGCCTCACAGCCAATATCCAATTCCCTAACATTTTGCCTTCCCTGTGGCAGAGCTGTCAAAGACCGAATTGTGCTAAATAATTGGACCGGGTGTGAGCTAGCAGATGCAATCATGGCCGCATAGAAATCTCTCTTTGCGGCTTTGACTGTCATCTCATAGGCTTTCATAAACGTCCTATAAGATGCTCTAGATGCCTCATCGTGAGCTCGGCACCACCGTCTCTCTAGCCGTCTCAGTTCTTGCTTTAGCTCGTGCAGCTCTTGGGTATACCAAGGCGCTCGCCTAACACGAGTGCGCAGAGGGCGTCTGGGAGCGATCTTGTCGATGGCCGAGGAGAGCCAGACATGCCAGTCCTCCACCAGCTCATCCAACGAGCCGCCAGGGGGGCTTGGATCCCGCCGAAACAAGTTGAGAGAGTCCCAGTGTCGCCATGGTCGACACCAAGTCCGTAGCCCGGCTAGAGGCTGCATCCTCAGCATGAACGTTGAAGTCACCCAGGACAATCAGCCTAGGGTGCTCCAGCGCCCAGCCTGATACGGCCTCCAGCAGGGATGACAGTGCGTTAGGCAGTCGGTACACCAACCAGATTGCCAAACTCTCATCAGCCTCCAGCATCAAACCGACACATTCAACGCCCACGATCTCTGCCGATGGAAGTGCCCTGAAGGAGTAAGCCTCCCGAATGAAGATAGCCACTCCTCCCCCCGCCCCCTAGTCAGTGACTGGTGGAGGACCGAAACCCCAGGTG